CACTGCTGGTGGGTTCCATTTTGTCATAGGGTGCTGTATTGGCCTCCCATTGCTGCTGCCAGGCCCGTAATCTGCCATGGGCCCCCGTACCGACTCCTCATGCTGCTGCCAGGCCCGTAATCTGTCATGGGCCCCTGTACCGCCTCCTCATGCTGCTGCCAGGTCCAGAGTGTCTCATGGGTCCCTGTACGGCCTCCCATTGCTGCTGTCTCCATCGCCACACTCTGCCATGTGCCACTTTCAGGTCTCCTCACACTGCTGGTGGGTTCCTTTTTTGTCATAGGGTGCTGTATGGCCTCCCATTGCTGCTGCCAGGCCCGTAATCTGCCATGGGCCCCCAGTACCGACTCCTCATGCTGCTGCCAGGCCCGTAATCTGTCATGGGCCCCTGTACCGCCTCCTCATGCTGCTGCTGCCAGGTCCAGAGTGTCTCATGGGTCCCTGTACGGCCTCCCATTGCTGCTGTCTCCATCGCCACACTCTGCCATGTGCCACTTTCAGGTCTCCTCACACTGCTGGTGGGTTCCATTTTGTCATAGGGTGCTGTATGGCCTCCCATTGCTGCTGCCAGGCCCGTAATCTGCCATGGGCCCCCGTACCGACTCCTCATGCTGCTGCCAGGCCCGTAATCTGTCATGGGCCCCTGTACCGCCTCCTCATGCTGCTGCCCAGGTCCAGAGTGTGTCATGGGTCCCTGTACGGCCTCCCATTGCTGCTGTCTCCATCGCCACACTCTGCCATGTGCCACTTTCAGGTCTCCTCACACTGCTGGTGGGTTCCATTTTGTCATAGGGTGCAGATGGCAGGCCTCCCATTGCTGCTGCCAGGCCCGTAATCTGCCATGGGCCCCCGTACCGACTCCTCATGCTGCTGCAGGCCCCGTAATCTGTCATGGGCCCCTGTACCGCCTCCTCATCATGCTGCTGCCAGGTCCAGAGTGTGTCATGGGTCCCTGTACGGCCTCCCATTGCTGCTGTCTCCATCGCCACACTCTGCCATGTGCCACTTTCAGGTCTCCTCACACTGCTGGTGGGTTCCATTTTGTCATAGGGTGCTGTAGATTACGGGCCTCCCATTGCTGCTGCCAGGCCCGTAATCTGCCATGGGCCCCCGTACCGACTCCTCATGCTGCTGCCAGGCCCGTAATCTGTCATGGGCCCCTGTACCGCCTCCTCATGCTGCTGCCAGGTCCAGAGTGTCTCATGGGTCCCTGTACGGCCTCCATTGCTGCTGTCTCCATCGCCACACTCTGCCATGTGCCACTTTCAGGTCTCCTCACACTGCTGGTGGGTTCCATTTTGTCATAGGGTGCTGATTATGGCCTCCCATTGCTGCTGCCAGGCCCGTAATCTGCCATGGGCCCCCGTACCGACTCCTCATGCTGCTGCCAGGCCCGTAATCTGTCATGGGCCCCTGTACCGCCTCCTCATGCTGCTGCCAGGTCCAGAGTGTCTCATGGGTCCCTGTACGGCCTCCCATTGCTGCTGTCTCCATCGCCACACTCTGCCATGTGCCACTTTCAGGTCTCCTCACCTCACACTGCTGGTGGGTTCCATTTTGTCATAGGGTGCTGTATGGCCTCCCATTGCTGCTGCCAGGCCCGTAATCTGCCATGGGGCCCCCGTACCGACTCCTCATGCTGCTGCCAGGCCCGTAATCTGTCATGGGCCCCTGTACCGCCTCCTCATGCTGCTGCCAGGTCCAGAGTGTCTCATGGGTCCCTGTACGGCCTCCCATTGCTGCTGTCTCCATCGCCACACTCTGCCATGTGCCACTTTCAGGTCTCCTCACACTGCTGGTGGGTTCCATTTTGTCATAGGGTGCTGTATGGCCTCCCATTGCTGCTGCCAGGCCCGTAATCTGCCATGGGCCCCCGTACCGACTCCTCATGCTGCTGCCAGGCCCGTAATCTGTCATGGGCCCCTGTACCGCCTCCTCATGCTGCTGCCAGGTCCAGAGTGTCTCATGGGTCCCTGTACGGCCTCCCATTGCTGCTGTCTCCATCGCCACACTCTGCCATGTGCCACTTTCAGGTCTCCTCACACTGCTGGTGGGTTCCATTTTGTCCTAGGGTGCTGTATGGCCTCCCATTGCTGCTGCCAGGCCCGTAATCTGCCATGGGCCCCCGTACCGACTCCTCATGCTGCTGCCAGGCCCGTAATCTGTCATGGGCCCCTGTACCGCCTCCTCATGCTGCTGCCAGGTCCAGAGTGTCTCATGGGTCCCTGTACGGCCTCCCATTGCTGCTGTCTCCATCGCCACACTCTGCCATGTGCCACTTTCAGGTCTCCTCACACTGCTGGTGGGTTTCCATTTTGTCATAGGGTGTGCTTATGGCCTCCCATTGCTGCTGCCAGGCCCGTAATCTGCCATGGGCCCCCGTACCGACTCCTCATGCTGCTGCCAGGCCCGTAATCTGTCATGGGCCCCTGTACCGCCTCCTCATGCTGCTGCCAGGTCCAGAGTGTCTCATGGGTCCCTGTACGGCCTCCCATTGCTGCTGTCTCCATCGCCACACTCTGCCATGTGCCACTTTCAGGTCTCCTCACACTGCTGGTGGGTTCCATTTTGTCATAGGGTGCTGTATGGCCTCCCATTGCTGCTGCCAGGCCCGTAATCTGCCATGGGCCCCCGTACCGACTCCTCATGCTGCTGCCAGGCCCGTAATCTGTCATGGGCCCCTGTACCGCCTCCTCATGCTGCTGCCAGGTCCCAGTCCAGAGTGTGTCATGGGTCCCTGTACGGCCTCCCATTGCTGCTGTCTCCATCGCCACACTCTGCCATGTGCCACTTTCAGGTCTCCTCACACTGCTGGTGGGTTCCATTTTGTCATAGGGTGCTGTATGGCCTCCCATTGCTGCTGCCAGGCCCGTAATCTGCCATGGGCCCCCGTACCGACTCCTCATGCTGCTGCCAGGCCCATAATCTGTCATGGGCCCCTGTACCGCCTCCTCATGCTGCTGCCAGGTCCAGAGTGTGTCATGGGTCCCTGTACGGCCTCCCATTGCTGCTGTCTCCATCGCCACACTCTGCCATGTGCCACTTTCAGGTCTCCTCACACTGCTGGTGGGTTCCATTTTGTCATAGGGTGCTGTATGGCCTCCCATTGCTGCTGCCAGGCCCGTAATCTGCCATGGGCCCCCGTACCGACTCCTCATGCTGCTGCCAGGCCCGTAATCTGTCATGGGCCCCTGTACCGCCTCCTCATGCTGCTGCCAGGTCCAGAGTGTCTCAGGGTCCCTGTACGGCCTCCCATTGCTGCTGTCTCCATCGCCACACTCTGCCATGTGCCACTTTCAGGTCTCCTCACACTGCTGGTGGGTTCCATTTTGTCATAGGGTGCTGTATACGGGCCTCCCATTGCTGCTGCCAGGCCCGTAATCTGCCATGGGCCCCCGTACCGACTCCTCATGCTGCTGTCAGGCCGTAATCTGTCATGGGCCCCTGTACCGCCTCCTCATGCTGCTGCCAGGTCCAGAGTGTCTCATGGGTCCCTGTACGGCCTCCCATTGCTGCTGTCTCCATCGCCACACTCTGCCATGTGCCACTTTCAGGTCTCCTCACACTGCTGGTGGGTTCCATTTTGTCATAGGGTGCTGTATGGCCTCCCATTGCTGCTGCCAGGCCCGTAATCTGCCATGGGCCCCCCGTACCGACTCCTCATGCTGCTGCCAGGCCCGTAATCTGTCATGGGCCCCTGTACCGCCTCCTCATGCTGCTGCCGAGGTCCAGAGTGTGTCATGGGTCCCTGTACGGCCTCCCATTGCTGCTGTCTCCATTGCCACACTCTGCCATGTGCCACTTTCAGGTCTCCTCACACTGCTGGTGGGTTCCATTTTGTCATAGGGTGCTGTATGGCCTCCCATTGCTGCTGCCAGGCCCGTAATCTGCCATGGGCCCCTGTACCGACTCCTCATGCTGCTGCCAGGCCCGTAATCATTCATGGGCCCCTGTACCGCCTCCTCATGCTGCTGTCAGGCCCGTAATCTGTCATGGGCCCCTGTACCGCCTCCTCATGCTGCTGCCAGGTCCAGAGTGTCTCATGGGTCCCTGTACGGCCTCCCATTGCTGCTGTCTCCATCGCCACACTCTGCCATGTGCCACTTTCAGGTCTCCTCACACTGCTGGTGGGTTCCATTTTTGTCATAGGGTGCTGTATGGCCTCCCATTGCTGCTGCCAGGCCCGTAATCTGCCATGGGCCCCCGTACCGACTCCTCATGCTGCTGCCAGGCCCGTAATCTGTCATGGGCCCCTGTACCACCTCATCATGCTGCTGCCAGGTCCAGAGTGTCTCATGGGTCCCTGTACGGCTTCCCATTGCTACTGCTCCATCGCCACACTCTGCCATGTGCCACTTTCAGGTCTCCTCACACTGCTGGTGGGTTCCATTTTGTCATAGGGTGCTGTATGGCCTCCCATTGCTGCTGCCAGGCCCGTAATCTGCCATGGGCCCCCGTACCGACTCCTCATGCTGCTGCCAGGCCCGTAATCTGTCATGGGCCCCTGTACCGCCTCCTCATGCTGCTGCCAGGTCCAGAGTGTCTCATGGGTCCCTGTACGGCCTCCCATTGCTGCTGTCTCCATCGCCACACTCTGCCATGTGCCACTTTCAGGTCTCCTCACACTGCTGGTGGGTTCCATTTTGTCATAGGGTGCTGTATGGCCTCCCATTGCTGCTGCCAGGCCCGTAATCTGCCATGGGCCCCCGTACCGACTCCTCATGCTGCTGCCAGGCCCGTAATCTGTCATGGGCCCCTGTACCGCCTCCTCATGCTGCTGCCAGGTCCAGAGTGTCTCATGGGTCCCTGTACGGCCTCCCATTGCTGCTGTCTCCATCGCCACACTCTGCCATGTGCCACTTTCAGGTCTCCTCACACTGCTGGTGGGTTCCATTTTGTCATAGGGTGCTGTATGGCCTCCCATTGCTGCTGCCAGGCCCGTAATCTGCCATGGGCCCCCGTACCGACTCCTCATGCTGCTGCCAGGCCCGTAATCTGTCATGGGCCCCTGTACCGCCTCCTCATGCTGCTGCCAGGTCCAGAGTGTCTCATGGGTCCCTGTACGGCCTCCCATTGCTGCTGTCTCCATCGCCACACTCTGCCATGTGCCACTTTCAGGTCTCCTCACACTGCTGGTGGGTTCCATTTTGTCATAGGGTGCTGTATGGCCTCCCATTGCTGCTGCCAGGCCCGTAATCTGCCATGGGCCCCCGTACCGACTCCTCATGCTGCTGCCAGGCCCGTAATCTGTCATGGGCCCCTGTACCGCCTCCTCATGCTGCTGCCAGGTCCAGAGTGTCTCATGGGTCCCTGTACGGCCTCCCATTGCTGCTGTCTCCATCGCCACACTCTGCCATGTGCCACTTTCAGGTCTCCTCACACTGCTGGTGGGTTCCATTTTGTCATAGGGTGCTGTATGGCCTCCCATTGCTGCTGCCTACACCGCCACACTGTGGCTCCACACTCTGGTTTTGGCCCCGTGACTGCCCAAATGAGTGAAGTGTGCGGTGATTCTAGGATCGACGGCACTCATCTGCATGTCATACTGACTGACAGTATTATTTCTCTTCCCCAGCAGACTCCAAGGGCATTTAAATTAAAGGTACAGTGTTCTGCACTAATATAAAGGCTCTCTGAAGCCTAGAAACACCCTTTTTATAAGTTAAATTCGCAGCGAATTTATTCGTCTCGAATCAATTTATTCCGCGAATTCGGCGAATCAGCCGAATCGAATTTTTGAATAATTCGCTCATCTCTAAAAGTGACCTACAAGCACCAAATAAAAAAGAGATGGTAGAAATGTTTGGGGCCTTAGAAAAGATAATAAAGAATGAAATGGCAACTATCCGGAAGGACTTGGGGCAGGTGCTGATAAGAGTGGAGGAAATGGAGGAAAAAGTTAAATATCCGGCCCAGATCATTTCTCAATTAGAGGAAAAAATAAAGAGTATGGAGAAAACTCAGGAAAAGTTACTGTATAAACTGGAAGTACAAGAAAATAGGGATAGGAAGAATAATCTAAGGCTGAGAGGAATCCCAGAGACTATAGAAGGGGAAACATTACAAAAAGAAATATGTAAAATCTTAAATTCCACAATGAACAGAGCTGCGTCAGAGGTGATTAAAACAGATGGTGTTTGGAGAAGAGGGAAAAAATATCAAAATGGGGGGGAAGGAAAAATCGAGAGATGTAATTGTTTAACTCCACAGATATGGGGACAGAGAGGAGATCTGGAGGAAGATTAAAGGGAAAACAACGATTAAATATAGTGAAATGGATATTCAGATTTTTGCAGACCTTACACCAGCAACCTTGTGGAGAAAAAGAACTTTGAAACCACTGACAGAGCAAATGAGAAAAAAAGAAGGTGTTTTATAGATGGGGAAACCCAATTTGCCTGATTGGGTGGAAAAATTGGATAACAGCCTACCTGAGATTCCCAGAAGATATGAGAGATTTCTGTGAAAAACATGAGTTGCAAAGGATGGAGATTCTCGGATGGGAAGAAGAAGAAGGTGTTCAAGGAATATTATAGTAAGTTGTATAATATTAATTCTCAGGATTTAGTAAATAAAGGTGAAAATGAGAGTAGAGAAAAAAGAAGGATATATTTAAAAAATGCAGGACTACCAAAGCTAGATGAAGATCTATTGAAGTCCCTGGAATTAGAAATCACGCAGGAGGAAATAAAAATAGCATTAAAAAATACTAAGGTGGGGAAAAGTCCTGGCCGATGGATATACCGTGAGGTATTATAAAAAATATAGCGAACTGTTAATACCTAAATTGAAGGATTATATGAATGCCCTGGGTGGAGAAATGGAGATTAGACAGGAATCCCTACAAGCCCATGTAACACTTATACATAAGGAAGGGAAGGACGCTACTCAATGTTCCAGTTATAGACCAATCATACTTCTAAATACAGATACGAAGTTATATGCAAAGGTCTTAGCAAATAGGATGAAAGACTTAATGCCAGAATGGATCCAGGGAGATCAGGTGGGTTTTGTATCGGGGAGAGAGGGTAGAGACAATGGAATTAGAACTATGTTGTTGATTCAGAAATCTAAGAAGGGGAAAACCCCAGTAGTGGTGCTCTAGATCGATGCTGAAAAGGCTTTCGATATAGTAAACTGGAGCTTTATGATGGATACCCTAGAGATTATGGGAGTAGGTGGTAGAATGAAGGAGTGGATAGGAAAGTTGTACAGAGCGCCCTCCGCGGTTATTTTGGTTAATGGTGAAAAGTCTGAGCCCATAGGGATGTCAAATGGGACAAGACAGGGATGTCCATTGTCCCCATTGCTGTATGTGTTATCATTGGAACCTTTGCTGGAAACAATTAGGAAGAACGTAGACATAAAGGGAATACAGATAGGGGAAATTGAACATAAAGTGGCAGCCTTTGCGGACGACCTGTTGTTCTATGTGGGAAATCCTAGGATAACACTCCCGAATTTAATAAAAAGCTTAAAGGAATATGGGGAATTATCAAATTTAAAAATCAGCCCAACAAAAACTGAGATCTTAAATGTAAATCTTCCAAATAGTGAGAAAGAAAAGATACAAAAAGAATTCCCTTTTATATGGAGAGATAGAGATATAAAATATCTAGGGGTTAAACTTACTGCTTCATATACAAAATTGTATAAATTAAACTATATTGCTCTTCTAAATGAGATCAAGGAGGAACTGAAGAAATTGGGAGGGGGAAACCCCTCTTGGTTAGGATGTATAAATCTAATAAAAATGATAATTGTACCCAAAGTCTTGTATAAATTTCAGATGATCCCAATTAGACTCCCAGAGGCCTTTTTTAAAGAAATTAAAAAGATGATAACAAGATTTATATGGAAAAATAAAAAATCTAGAATATCTTATGACCTGATGAGTAGAAGTAAAGAGAGGGGGGGATTGGGAGTGCCAGACGTCAAGAGATACTATAATGCTGTAGTTCTAGCGAGAATTTATGATTGGACACACAATACAGAGGGGAAAAGGTGGGTTAAGATAGAGAATGATTTGAGTGGAGTTGATCTGAGTAGAAGCATATGGGCACCCGCACAATATAGAGGTTTAAAAGATACCACGAGTGTGTATACACTGAATGTTTTAAAGGTTTGGGATAATTTACATAAGTGTATGAAATGGGATTTTAACTCACAATTAATGTCACTAAGGAATATGGAGTATTTTCCACCAGGTATAGAGGGGAGTGTGGGAAAATGGATTAAAAAGGAAGATATCCAACTGAGGGATATTATGGACGGACAGAAATTGAAAACACTGAAGGATTTAAAGAAAGGTGGAGGGGAACTTTTTATTAAGATTGATGAGTGGAAATATCACCAATTAAAACACTTTGTCGAGGGTCTTCCGAAACCTATGAGAGGGAGAAAGGAGTGGAATTTGTTTGAGAGGTTGTTGGCATCACGGGGAGATGGGAAATGGGGTACGGCAAAAATTTATAAGATTCTCGCTGAGTTAGTCACGGAAGTAAAACCAATGTATATAGAAAAATGGGAAAAGGACTTGGGGATAGAGATAGATGAGGATAAACAGAGGAAAATATATAGACTTACACACGAAAATGTCAGCATGAGAGAGGTGGAGGTAAATTATAAGTGTTTAGTAAGATGGCACATCACACCGAGTGTTGAACATAAAATGGGTGTGGAGAGAGCACAAGAGTGTTGGCGGGGGTGTGGAAAGATTGGTACGTGGTTTATATATGGTGGGAGTGCCCAAAGATCCAAAGCTTCTGGGAGACAATGGTCAACCTAATAAGGAAAATCTCAGGGATAAAGATAGGATTAGATCCAGAAGTGTGCTTATTACATAATACAGAGTTACCAGTGAATAAATACAAAGATTTGGGTATATGGTACTATGTGAATGCAGCAAAGGGTTTGATATCTAAATTCTGGCATAGTTCAGAGGTGCAGAGAGAAAAGGATTGGGTAGAGAGAGTAAATCAGATTAGTAAGATGGAGAAATTGTATTATATCCAAGAAGACAAGATGGATATATACAATAGGAGATGGGGGAAATGGGAAGATTTTGTACATCAAATGAATATATGTGAAGTAATGGGAAGTGATAAGTGAAGTTTCTTGATTTATAGGGAAGGATGTAAGAGAGAACTGCAGAGTGGGAGGGCGTTGGGACGTGGTAGGGAGGAGGGGCGGAGGGAAGGGATATAAAAAGGGGGAAATAGAAGGAGATAAGATTAAGAATGTTATATATTATATGAGATTGTTGAAGAAATGTATTGTTATGTTCTTCTTTCCTTTTTCCCTTTTTATATGTATTTATAAATATGAAAAATTAATAAATATTTGAATTAAAAAAAAAAAAAGAAAAGTGGACAGAATGGTGCTATGACTAGATGTCCTGTGATAGAGCAGGATGTTTCAGGTCTTGGTGACATCCGTCTCCAACAATATCAAATGCATTCTTTGCAATAGTGTAACTACTCTTTGATTCTGTTCGATGTCGTGCTGTAATATTCATCGCAGTAATAATTTTTGTAATATTGTTGGTAAAGAAGAATTTCAGTTATGATATATTTTTACATAGTTACTTTAGTCCATCCAGTGTAACTATTGTGGCAGTACTAGGCCCTTCCAGTGTGTGAGTATAGGCAAAAGGCACATAGGGTTCTCAAAGTTACAGATTGAGGGCTCCAGAGTGTTGTTTCTGAGTGAAGAAAACTAGCTTGCCAATGTTCTCTGGATTTGGTAATGTCAGGGATCGCGGCTACGAGTGGCTCCACGCATGTGCAGAGCGCCGATCTATAATAGCCGGCGGACACTACGACCTGGACAGCGGCGGCCACGCATGCGCACTCGCGATCGCAGAAGCTCGCCTGGCACCAATGGCAGGGCAGGGCGCACTATTTAAACCTGCCCTGCACTTACACTCATTGCCGTATGGTCTTTATTCCTGTGTTCCTGTTATTTGAGATTTGTTGCTGACTTTGCCTGAACCTGACCTCTGCTGACTTCTCCTGCTCTGACCCCTGGCTAGTTTGACCTCTCTTCTGGATATTCCTAAACCTGATCTGAACTACTGGTACCGACTCCGGCGATTCTTCTGCCTGCTGCCTTGTACTACGCTGACCTCACTGTTACCGACCTGGCCCATTTGACCACGCTCATCCATCCATCCGGCACGGATCCAGCCATCCCTGCTTCCGCCCTCTGCCTCTTCACGTCAGGCTTTCCACCTGCATAGACCCCCGGCGGAGTCCTCTACCTCAAGCAGATGTACTCAGGGGCCGCGACCTGGTTCCTGTCTGCTCCAAGTCCATCCCCACCATCAGGGGCCCTGGTGAACAAGCAGACTGGGGCTTAGACTTAGACTGGGGAATCCTGTCCTGTGGACTGCTAGAGGTACCTCCAGGTGGTTGCTAACAAGTAACCCCGAATCAGGGTCTGGAGCTTGGAGACTTCATAGATATTTAGGTAAGAAGAAGTCTCCGATCCTCTGTCCAGGTCTCACTGGAGACTTCCAGGCTTTGTGAGTGTGCAGGTATGCACACTCATTATAAGCAAGGCCTGGCCAAAGCTCAGTGCTCCTATCAGGTGATTCGCAACTAGGGCAAGGACTTTTGAAGGGGA